CTACCTCTGGTTACGACGTTTTTAGTAGATTAACCTGGTGAAACATTGGTATCATACTCTGTAATTCCGCCAATAAACAAGCTTTAAGTTTTACACAAATATGTGGCTTAAGCTATTTAATAGCATTTTAGTACAAGTTGCTGTTTAACTTCTGTATATCCAACAATAAACAAGTTTTACATAACAGGGTACTTTTAGTTATTTATATTCATCACCGTTAAGTGGACTGGAAGAGCAAGCAAGACATCAAGCCCCTTCAAGTCTCGAAAAATGACATTTCAAATGTATTAGGTCGTCAAGAAGTTAATGTCGCTTTTTTTCTAGATGAAAAAACCCGAACAACTTATATATCAAAACAAAACATTCATTAAATGAAATGGCCTCCATTATTATCGATGATGCATTTCCATCTTACAATCAGGTTGTTAACGCCTTTCCAATTGACAAGTGAAGGGCGTTTTTGATGAAGGGCTTGATTTAAACGTTCCAGTTGCTGACTATAGATCTCTGCATTGGGAGTTCGCTGTGGATTGAGGAGTTCGAAATGAATTATTCCTTTGACGCCTCACCAAATGCAAAGCATCCTTTCTGCGAATGGAGTCCAAGTTTTGGGGTCGGAAGTGGTTTTTTTGTTTAGGACTGAGCCATTGTTTTTGGTGTTTAATATTCACATAAAGAATCCATTTTTCATCAACGGTAAGAATTCTGTTCAAAAATGGTTCATGCACCAGAAGAGACGAAGCAACGTTCACACGTTGGAAACGATGATCACCGGAGAGTTCGTGAGACACCCAAACATCTTCTTTATAGAGTTTTCCCATATTCTTTAGATGTTTACGTATAGTTTCATGAGAGACATACAATTTCAGGGCCATTTCACGAGTTGTTGCCTTGGGTTAGACTCAACAAGCGTCTTCAGAGCATCAATATCAATTCCAACATGTCGGCCCCTGCCATCACAGTTTTTAATGCTAAAGTCACCTGAACGAAATTTCCTAAACCATCGTTGACACTTACGAACGTTCAAAACATTTCTATAAACTTCTTTGATATTCTTTGTGGCTATAGAGGCATTGTTTCCCTTCTTGTATTCAAACAGCATTATATGCCGAATGTGTGTCTCGTCGTGTGCCATCACTATAAGGGATTAGAGTATACTAAACTTTACACATTATATAGGCTACATTAATGTGACATTTAGGCGGGTCGGTTAACTATTATACGTAATGTACGTTTTTTCGGGTCTGGTTAATGAAAGTGTTCCAAAACGCGACATTAATTCATTGACGACCTAATACTTAACAATATCA